TGCTGATGCTGAGATGCTGATGCTGATGCTGATATGCTGATGCTGATTCTGATGCTGATGCTGATGCTGATGCTGATGCTGATGCTGATGCTGATATGCTGATGCTGATGCTGATATGCTGATATGCTGATATGCTGATGCTGATGCTGATGCTGATGCTGATGCTGATGCTGATGCTGATGCTGATGCTGAGATGCTGAGATGCTGATGCTGATGCTGATATGCTGATGCTGATGCTGATGCTGATGCTAATGCTGATGCTGATATGCTGATGCTGATGCTGATGCTGATGCTGATATGCTGATGCTGATGCTGATGCTGATATGCTGATGCTGATGCTGATGCTGATGCTGATGCTGATGCTGATATGCTGATGCTGATATGCTGATGCTGATGCTGATGCTAATGGTGATGCTGATGCTGATATGCTGATGCTGATGCTGATGCTGATGCTGATGCTGATATGCTGATGCTGATGCTGATATGCTGATGCTGATGCTGATATGCTGATGCTGATGCTGATGCTGATGCTGATATGCTGATATGCTGATATGCTGATATGCTGATATGCTGATGCTGATGCTGATATGCTGATGCTGATGCTGATGCTGATGCTGATATGCTGATGCTGATGCTGATGCTGATATGCTGATGCTGATGCTGATATGCTGATATGCTGATATGCTGATGCTGATGCTGATGCTGATGCTGATGCTGATGCTGATGCTGATGCTGATGCTGATGCTGATATGCTGATGCTGATGCTGATGCTGATGCTGATTCTGATGCTGATGCTGATATGCTGATGCTGATGCTGATGCTGATATGCTGATGCTGATGCTGATGCTGATGCTGATGCTGATGCTGATATGCTGATGCTGAGATGCTGATGCTGATGCTGATATGCTGATGCTGATGCTGATGCTGATATGCTGATGCTGATGCTGATATGCTGATGCTGATGCTGATGCTGATGCTGATGCTGATGCTGATATGCTGATGCTGATGCTGATATGCTGATATGCTGATGCTGATGCTGATGCTGATATGCTGATATGCTGATATGCTGATATGCTGATGCTGGGGCGCGCCCTGTTGATGGGTGATGCCATGGTGCTTCAATGCCATGGTGCTTCAATGCCATGGTGCTTCTCTCACATAGTGTCTTGAAGACGAGGGTTGTGATTCATGTGCCCGGCATCTGTGTCTCTGCTTCACTCCTCTTCTCCTCTCTGTCACCTGCCAGTTTTTCTTCTACCACAGCAAGTCAGGCACACTCTGGCACAACCCATCGCTACACTGGCCTTACCACATCTCCCTGTCTCTCCCATCACCCTGCGTTTCCCATCCCCCCCAGTTCCTGTCGCTATGGCAGGCCAAGTCAGCAGCACTGGGGTGGGATTTCACGGGCCTGCAGGCGGCAGTGAGGGAGTTTGCCGCCCAGATTGCCATCGTACCGCACCTTGAGATGGGCGGCTTGCACAGCCGCGCCATCCGGTATGCCTTTTTTGGAAGCAACCAAGAAGATGCTGAGAAGGTTCTTGCAACGGCTTTGCTTGCTGCGGTGAAATTTCACCAGGCATGGAAGGACAGCAACGGTGTTGCTGTGTGAGAACGCTTTGTACAGGAGGTACAGTTCGTTTAATAGTTTTTTATTTTTCGAGCATGTACAAGAAACTCCGAGTGAAAGCAAACATGTTATTGTCCGAAAAAAGAATTCAGGAGTCAATAAAAACTTCCAGCCATCATCCTCCTGAACTCGTTGTAATCCACGTATCCATCCTCGTCAGCGTCCACCCGCTTTATCATACGTTCGCAGTCTTCCGCCGTCAAATCATCCCCGCTAAGAACACCAATCACGTATCGCAGCTCCTCCGCACTTATCACACCATCCCTGTCAAGGTCAAAGATTTCAAACGCGCGGAACAAATCATCTTCAATCACGTCCTTCCTTGATTTACTCCCAACGTCCGATTCATCTTCCCCCTCATCATCGGACGATGGAACGGAGACAACGGACGGCTTTGCGCGCGTCGAGAGCAAAAATTCCTCGAAATCAATCATCCCGTCGCCATCCACGTCAGCTTCTCGAATCACATCCTCCGCGAAGCCAATCAAATCGCCTCCCGCCTCGAGCGCCGGAATACCGCGCCGTCCAGGCTGCGTCTCAGCAGAAGTATTACTACTATCCAGGCGGCCTAGGAGAGTCGCGAGCTCGTGGGCGGAGATTTTGCCGTCCTTGTCCAGGTCGATCGTCTCGAAGGTGCGCGCGGCCTCGCGACGGAACGAGGAGGACGCGATCTGGAGGATATGGCTCGAGCGGGTGTTTCGCGTTGCTGACGCGACGATGTCGTGCTGCTGCAGGGCCATGCGCGAGGGGTCGGCAAGGATATCTAGCAGAGTTTCGATTAGTTCCAAGTGTGGAACAGAGTTGGTCGGGACGGGGATTAAGTTGGCCGGGGAGAGGGGGTGAACGAAAGCAGACGTGCCAATTGCTTTCAGGATTCTTGAGAATAGCACGGGTACTACTGGAAACGCAGAGATGATTCTGTTTTCGCAGCAAGAGAACCAGCTAGAGAGCTTTTGCGGGTGGTGGAACTATTGTCGATAAGAAAATTGAGTGAATGACAGAATGCTATTTCGCCCCCCCTTTCTACGTGTGTTGTGAAGCATTCAGCTGGTAGGTGGAGATGTGAGACTACTCGGGTTAAAACCGGGGTGCACATTCAGCTGAATGTGCATCAAAGGTTATCCCTTGACTGAGTGGGTTACGAGGTGTGCTTTCAACCCCTTCAAGTCGAAATTCGTTTCCCCCCTCCCCCGCAATTTCGTTTCCCCACGCCCCCGCAATTTCATTTCCCCCTCCCCGTCGAAATTCGTTTCCCCCCTCCCCCGCAATTTTGTTTCCCCCCTCCCCCGCAATTTCGTTTCCCCCCCCTCCCGCCAATCTGTTTCATCCCTCCCGCCATTCGGTTTCACCCACTCCCGCCATTTCACCCCCTCCCGCCACCTACGAAATGCCCGAAGCTCTAGCGGAATCATTTTTTTGTCGCCCCTCGTGAGCCAATCACTGTTTTTCTCCAAACCCCCTTCCCAACATCTCAAGCCGAACCGCGTTGAATGTGCACCCTGGTTTTAACTCCTTCGAGCACATTCGCTACTCCACCACTCATCCAATCGACTTTCCCCATTGCAGAGTTGCGAACTTTCGGGATACGCTTTCACGAGTGAGCTTGCCGTTGCGTGGCGAGCAAGCTGGGATTGTAGGTGCTGCGAAGCTGGCGAAGCAGCTTTCCCGAGTAATGCACGGAGCGGAATGTATGTGGCGATGCGATGGGAAGCGATGCGATGGCGCGAAAGTCTCGCTTGTCGTGACAGTCAAGGCACGTATGTCTCTGGTATGGGTGCTTCGAAACCAAAAGTCTTCGTGGTTCATTCTGCTCGAACACTTGTTTGATATACGGGAAACAAGTAATAAAATTGGCATATTATCGGTATAATTTCCTTATTCATGAACTTACACAGCCATACGTGCAACAAATGCATTGCATGCTAATTATTAATGGCTTGCCAACCAGGTCAAGGATAGAACCAGGAATTCCGCGCCGGAGGAAGACAGAATTGCATGCCAACAAACAGAGGGTTACGGCAAACCACACCGTAATTATACTGGGCCATAAGCCGTGCACTGTTGCGGAAATATAACGATATTATGCGAGCGCATGTATCGCCTCGTGTGGCATAGTACAGATCATTCGTCACACAGTTACTCGCTCCCGTCCAATTGGGGGCCGCCTTCACACAGACCTGGGAAACGAAAGAAAGAAACAAGAGAAATTAGGCCTGCTGCAATTAAATTTATCGTTCCTAAAAAGCCTGCAATGAGAATTCTGCGGTAAAGAAACCTCTTTTCATATTGTTCCCCCTGGTCTCACCTGGACTCCGGTGTCCGTGGTAGCATTCGGTTGCTCCAGGAGCGAGCAGGAGAGGCCGGGATTGAGAGCGATCAAGTGTGTGGGCGGGAGAGGGGGAGAGGCGACGGATCGCATGATTGAGGGGCACGTGTCGCCCTGCTGGGGCGTGTACCAGCGCGCACAGCGACGGGGGAGAGGCGTTGATGCTGCCGCCACACAGATCTGATGGGGAATGGGATGGGGAGGAAGGGAGTAACAAAGAGCAGGGAGGAACAAGAGTGGAAAGGCAGAGAGGGAAAGCAGAGAGGGAAGCAGCGAGGGAAGGCAGAGAGGGAAGGCAGAGAGGGAAGGCAGAGAGGGAAGGCTGGAGAACAGTGCAAGTACCGATTGGCTGGAGGTAAAGGGGAGCGAGCAGTCCAACTGGGGGTTGAGAGCGAGGAGAGCTGCTGTGCTTGTATTGAAGAGATCCACTATCGAAGCACACGTGTCCCCCTGCACACAGGCAACATGCACCATCAGTTACAACGCAAAGGCCCAATCACTTAAAAAACAGCAACAAAACAAAATGAATACATATACGGGATGAGGGTTCAAGGCGAAGGTTGGCCATGTCAAGAGGATGGACGTAGAGTTTGTGATGGTGAGGAGGAGTGGGGCGTACCAGAGAGGCAGCATAAGAGAGCGAGCAGACGGTGGCTGCTGCTGTGGTGTTCACTGTCACGGTGGCTCCCACCTGCAGCTTGCTGCAGTCCATGCCCTGTCGTTGCAATGACGGAGTGATTGCCATGGGAGGGGAGAGTGGATAGAAGAGTAAGGAAACACGAGGGCGCACATGACGCAGGAGAAAAGGGTTGGTGGGTAGGGCTAGCTGGCCCTGTGTTTAACAGCCAAGGGAGTGTGTGGAGTGCGGGCGATCGGGAAGAAGAACACGTGGGTGCGCTTACAGGGTTGGTCTGCTGCAGCTGCTCCACGGTGATACGGAAGGTGAGGGCCAGCATGCCACACGTCATGCCCTCCACCACTCTCACTCGCCGCACCCCAGCACCGGCACCACTGCCGCTGCTGCCGCCACTGCCGCTGCTGCCCCCACCACCGCCGGCGCCGGGGGTGTCCCAGTAGTTGGTGGGGGGCGGTGGGGGTGGCACGACGCAGGTCTGTGTGCCGTCCGTGTTGTTGGTGCGCTGGGTGGGCGGTGGGCAGAGACAGGAGTAGCCGCCCGGGCTGGTGGTGCTGTCGATGCACGTGCCCGTGTCACACGGGTTCACCATGGAGAATCCACAGCGCCGCGCTGCAAGCAGGGGGAGAGGGGAGGGGGAGGGGGCCGTGGGTGAGAAAAGGTTGAAGGGGGATGAAGGGAGGCTGGCCGCGGCTGGTGGTGCTGTCGATGCATGTGCCTCTCACTCACCCAGAGCACACGACTGAGACCCATCGATGTTCACCGTGACCCGGAACCCCTCAGGGCACTCGCACGTGTTGCCCCCCGTCCCCGCATCCACAGCGCACTTCCCGCCCCCACAGGGGTTGATGGGAAAGCACGGATCTGGGGTGGTAATAACCGGGTAGAGGGCCGGCATGGAGTGAATCCCGCATATGCCGTCCCCTCCCGCCATGGCCAGGCGCATGACGCCCCAGCGGCCCCACCAGGAGCCCCAGCTGTTGAGAACGATCCAGTGCGGTGTGGGGTCGGTGAGGTCGTAGCCTATAACGAGTACAGAGTGGTCCACGAGGCCGTTAAGGAAACAGGAGGGGTCCGAGTAGACGAACGACTGGAGGAGAGGGGGGAGGTGGGAGGGGACGGAAAGAGAAAACGGAGAGGGGGTAGGTGGGAGGGGTAAGGGAGCCAAATATGGAAGAAAACGGAGAGAAATAGAGAGTCACGGAATGGCTTAGAGCAGAGAAAAAGGAATCGTAACCCCCACCGACCAATACTCACCCCATCGTACTGAATGAACGAAGGCTGGTCCGCCTCTAGGGCCGCCACCACAGGCTGGCGCTGCAGCGCCAATACTCATCCCCAAATACCTTTCCAACCCCGTCTTCAGCGGACTCACGCCCACCTTAGAAGCCAACCGCCATCCCACCATCCCACCGACCAATACTCACCCCATCGTATTGAATGAAGGACGGTTGGTCCGCCTCTAGAGCCGCCACCACAGGCTGTCGCTGCAGCGCCAGGATCATCCCCAGGTGCCCCTCCAGCCCGGTCTCCTCGAACATTGTGATGCTAAAGGGGCCCTTATAAGGGGTACGGCGCGTGAACGGCACAGAGTTGTCTGCATACACCAACGGCGGTGCCTGCTGCTGCTGCTGCTGCTGCTGCTGCTGCTGCTGCTGCTGCACACAAAGGGAAGCCCTAGAGGCGTTTTTAGTGCCCCGCGCTCCGATGAAAGGCGCGGCAGCAGCAGAGGGGAGGGGAGTAAATGTCATGAAATCAAGGGCCTCTGCGGACCACCCGCCCTCGCACCCATCGAGCCACGCTCCCCCCCCTCCCGTGTCGTTCCTCTCGCTCCCAGCCCCGGCAGCCGCGGGGGTGCGGGGGGTGTTGGGCGCGCATTCGAGGAGGCGTTGGGTGGAGATGGCAGGGGGAGGCGAGTTGGTGACGATGGCGTAGAGGGATTCGACTGCTGCCACCGCTGCCATGGCCCAACATGCCGCTGATTGGATGGTGGGAAGGGGGGGTTAGGGGTAAGGGAGGGGGAGAGGGCGGGAGGGGGGTCGGAGGAGGGGAAAGAAAAACGTGAGCAATATGGAGAGCTGGAAAGAAAACGAGAAAGGATAGAGTGAGAGAGGGAGGGGAGAGGAGGAGGGGAGAAGGGGAGCAAGAGGAGGTGGAGGAGAGGAGAAGAGGAGAAGAGGGGGAGCAGAGGCAGGTGAAGGGGCAGGTGAAGGGGCAAGTGAAGGGGCAGGTGAAGGTTCATTTTCTCACCGCAGGAGGCCTGGTTCTGCACGGGGCGAACCATGCGGCGCTGCTGCCAGTCAACGCGGTCAAGGTAAGTCCACCGCGGGGCAGCACCCTCCCCACTGCCGTTGCTGGCGGCAGGGGGGACGAAGCCAACGCTGGCGTGGCGGAAGTTGGGGTTGCGGCGGCGGATGGACGCCCACATGTTGGGCGTGAGCGGTAGCAGCAGCCCCGTGGACACGGGCGGCAGACCTGGGGGAGGGGGGTGGTAGACAGAGAGGGGAAGGGGGTGACTTCTGAGGTCTTCTGGTTGCGGCGGCGGATGGACGCCCACATGTTGGGGGTGAGCGGCAGTAGCAGACCCGTGGGGGCAGGCCTGACGGTGGGGGAGAGGGGAGGGGAGGAGGGGTGTTTGAGGCAGGCACAGTGAGTGCATGGTAACATGGCAAGAGTAACAGGGTAGCACAGTGGCAAGAGCAGTTCAAAGAGTAGTGTCTTGCGCCGTAGTGAAAATTCCCCACCTGGCATCACGAGTGTCTTGCGCCGCCCGAATCTGAGGGTGCTGAGCGCATCGAGACTCGAGCCATCCTCGTGAGCAGTACACGTGGCAGTCTGTGAGAGGACGAGGACGAGGAGCAGAGCGAGCAGGGACGCCAGGCACGGCTCGGCGCGCTGCAGGATCGCCATGGCGGCCGCCAACGATTAACAGACGGATGTGATAACGCCGGGTGCTCGTACTGCGACTTGTACTCCAATCCCCCCAGCAAAATATTTCCGCCCTCGAGAGAGGTCTCCTCAAATGAGCGAAATCTCGCACGGAATCTAAACGCGACTAATTTCGGCCCGCTCTCCTGCACGGCTGCACTGAGCTCTCGCCTCAGCAGATGTGCCTTTTGTAGGCACGCGAGGAGCCTCCCCAACTTGGGCAGTCTTGAAGACTCGGCACGCAGTTGTCTTCAAGACATCTGCTGGCAAGTTGCCACGCGCATCGAGTCGCATCTGTATCTTCGCTGGCACCGCTTTCAACCCCCCTGCCTTCCTTCCAGCACTCGATGCTTTTTTCATTTCTTGGCGCCGTGCGCAACGGCGAGTCGCCTCGCCTGCACTCGCTCGCGGGATCATCCGACGAACGACAGCTAGGGGCTGATATATTCCGCGGTAACGCCGCACGAATCTGTTGCGGGTAACTGCCGCGAGCGCCGAGTGGCTTTCGCGGAGGTTGGCCCATTTCGCCGCACGATAATCTGTTTCGGCTGTCCGCTGCTCGATTCTGTTGAATGAAAACGCTATGCACCCCAAGCGTTCTCGTCGGGGGGAGGTGGTTACGGGTGATGCTGATATCGATGCGTCTCCGCTCACAAGAGGTGGATTTAACCGCATTTTGGAACCGGACCGCGCAGACGCGACTTTTCTTACTGCATCAGTGCAAAGCACCAGCTATTCATAACCGCCATGTTTAGATCTGACTGAACAAAGAATGATCGGAAAGTGGGGAAAAAGGGGGGCGAAAACGACAGGAATTGGCAGTTTGGCTGGAAGGGAGAGGATGAGAATGACCACAGTGTACTTCATACAAGCAGATCGATAAACGAATATATCACTGTAAGTCGGCTCCACTTGTAAGGATCGCTTGGCTGTGTAACAGTTGTCAATCACGAAACGTTTCTAACAACGCTTTGCCTCTGGTTTCCCAAGCCGTTTCGCTAGAGAATGAAACCGTCGCGAACGTGCTGGATTGGATCAACTTCCCTGTCGTTCGCGTGGCTTGACAGCGACGCTCGCAAATTCGCTGGACTGCAGTCCGTTGAGCCACCCCAAAGAGCATGCAATATCTGAAACCTCATTTTATTGAAATGTCGGTCGATTCGCACGAGCGAGCCGCGATGTCAATTTCGCAAATGTTCTTTTGGCACGAGTGGGTTCCCTCCATTCCCTTCCCTCCACGCTGAAAATTTCATGCCTCAGTCTCTGACCTTTCTGCTTCACGCCCAGAAGCCCATTTTCCTTCATGGTGGGAAGGCACCTTTCACTTTCCATCCCATCCCGCTACAGACCAAGACGCAACTGTACTCTCGGAACATAGATGCATGATGCATAGATGCATCATCCGCCGTCGAAGAAAGGCCTGCACCGAGTTTATCGTTCTCTCACACATTTCGGTCAAGTCTCTAGCAGCTCTGTGAGCCTGCGCCTTTACCACATCTGCGCATATCATATATCGCACGCCTGCATAACTCTGTAATCAGACGTCGCAACCATGTCCAAGAGTAAGCTCTCGTCGCCTTGCCAATGCGCACGAACTCGCGACGGGAAGCGCCAGCATGCCTTAACTCCGTCCCAAAGGCAAGACGCTCTAAACGCGTTCCGCGTTTTCGACATAAACGGCGACGGGAAAATCTCCCCAGCGGAGCTGGCGCTGGTTCTGGAACGACTCAGTCGGACGGAAGCCGTCTGCGTCTCCGTCAGCGAACTGATTCAGGAAGCAGACGTTGACGGAGACGGGCTGGTTGATTTTGAGGAGTTTGTGAATTCGTCCCTCTTGTGGCGCTCCCCCGATTCTACCGGCTGCGACGCGTGCAGAGCCAGCGGGAAACACGAAGAGGAGGCAGCAGCACCGAAAGCTGAAGACAGCGAGTTGCGGAGAGCCTTTGAGCTATTCGATCGCGATGGGAATGGCACGATCTGCGCGGGGGAGCTTCAGCAGGCGATTGAGATGCTAAGCGGTGACGCCATGTCGATGGAGGAGTGCCATAGAATGATCGCCAGAGTGGACGCTAACGGGGATGGCAAGGTTGATTATGGCGAGTTTAAACACATGATGGCGGGAGTGCTTTAGTGAGCCGAGCAAGGATACTATAGAATGAATACGTACTTGCATCTAGCTTGTATTTCCCCGCTGTGCTGTACATGTAAACGATTCTTCTTATTTGAATACGTTCAAGCATGATTTATTTGTTGCTACACGCATGCTGCTGTGCGGTAGTGGCTTCAGTGCACGCCACGCCGGGTCTTACGCAGCCATTCCATTTCAGCGTGCCAAATGAAGCTGTGGACCCGGCCTGCCGATTATGTCTGCATGTGTGCCCAGTGATGCAACCACCTCTATCCTACCTGGCTGACTTGCCGACGGAAAGAGCTGCCGTTTTTTGTCATGAGAAGTGTCGTTCGTTCGTTGCACCTTGGCAAATACCATTCAAATAGCTTGCCCATTCTCCAGACGGCAACAGCGTGCTTTCTTCTCCACTATGACCGATTGCAGTGAGTCCAAGCCAAGCACCAATGGTGTCGCTCAAGTGCCCAGTTTGGGTGAGATTAGCGAGAGCATTATGCTTTTTTAAAGAGAAAATGCAAAAAAAAAAAAACGAGATTTACTAATATCGTTTCAGACTCCATACATATACAATAGGGAACAATGAGAGTAGCCCCCTATGCAGTCAAGAGAAAACAGCCCTTACTTTGCTTGCCTTACCCCTCATGCAACCCCAAACCCCACACATTCCATTCAGTTTAGAAGTCCCAACACCATAGAGTCAGAGACCCCTGGCCCTTGTCTTGTCCCTTACCCCCCTACCATAGTATTGCGCCCCTGACTGGTCTCCTTGTGTTGCTCCTGCGTACTGAACCCGTTTGAAGATGCTCTCCCACATAAGTTGCCGTTGTTGCTACTGCTACTGCCACCCCTGGCTGCTATTGAGGCTGCTTCTGCTGGTAGGGCCCCTATTAACTGATAGCTAATGCCGTTGTTGGTAACGATGCTCTTACCGCTAGTCAGTTGCTACTGCTGTGAGTGAATGTCGCTCCTACTGCTGCTGCTGCTGCTGCTGCTGCTGCTGCTGCTGCTGCTGTTGCTGCTGCTGTTGCTGTCAGAAAGGCTCTGACAGACGCGGATGCTGGCGCGCCTATGTACCCAAACCAAGAGCTGCTGCTACTGCTAGTCAATGCTGCTGCTACCGCTGCTGCTGCTGCTGCTGCTGTCAGAAAGGCTCTGACAGACGTTCGTGTCAATGCTAGCCTAAGTCACAAGCGGGTGCTGGCGACCCTACGCACCCACTCTAAGTGGGCGTGAGAGAAGAACTTGGCTGAAGCATGGAGGCCTGCGGGACTCCACAGCATCCCCCCCTTCTCTCCTCTGTCCTAACCCTCCAATATTCCCCCCCACCCCGCCCCAAACCTATCCACCACTCACCACCACGCCGGTTGGCAGAACCCATCATTGCAACACCCCAACCACCCCCGCCCTTCCCCCGCTCTCCCCTCGGCCGTTAGCAAACCCTCCAATGCACATCTCCGCGTCGCCCGTGAGCAGTACCCTTCCAAATTCGCCACTGCCGAAAGCCGCCCCAAGCTCGGGCTGCTCTTCTAGTCCTCTACTGCACCCTTCCCACCGTGCCCGTCAGCAGACCCAGAATTGCACTCCTCCCCCCCACTTCCTCCTCCCACCGCGCCCGTTAGCAGTACCCTTCCATCTCCTTCACTGCTGAAAGCAGCCCCGAGCTCGGGCTCTTTACGTCCTTCAATTGCGGCACAACAGACCCCTCTATAGTAACATACGCGCTATTGAGAAACGGCTGCAACGGCTCCCCGCCTTCTACCGGCTGTATGTTGATGTCTGATAAAAGGATGTTGCTGCAGGGGACTGTATCTGAGCAGTCGAGCTTGATCCCTTCCCCTTTAGAAGTCGTCCCTTTAACGTTTTTAAACGTGACGTCCGCAATTGCTACAGCACTCTCGGCAGTGCCGCATGATCGCGACGACTCACTGTTGCAATAAAACTGGTCGATGCGAATAGGGTTACCGACATTCTCGAGAATCATATCCTCAAAATGGATCCCCCTGGCTGACCCCTTGCCACCCTGCCACGTCTTTATGCGAAGCCCGTTGGCGGTGTTGCGAAGGATGGATTTGCGAACTGTGATGTCGGAAACGCAGCTAATGTCTTTATCTTTCCCCAGGCTTCCAATGCTGTTGTTTGAGGTGCGGGGGGGGGGAAAGTGAAGGAACGAGAGAAAAGAGGAAAAGATTGATGAGGATGGTGTAGTGGAATGGGGAGATCAGGTGGGGAAAGGCGAGTCATAAGTTGGTGTTTGCTACCCACGTGTCATAAGTTCATAACTTCACTGTAGAGCGGTGTAGCTTTCCACTTTATAGAATTGTCTCACCTGATTCCGTGCCCGGAGTTGCCAACAATGTTCTGAATTAGCACGCGCGACGTGCCGTTGATGATTGCGACATTGTCGTCGCCGCCCGAAAACTCGCAGTTTTCGATCAGAGCGTCCTTCACGTACGACAAATGCAGGCTGTCCGTGTTCGGGCTCTCCTCGGGACTCAATGTAGTCACGCCGCGTACAGTCACGCCGTTGTTCTCGTAGAAGAACAGATGCTTGAACGCGGAGTCCCTGGAAAGTTCATTTGCGAAGGCGGCAGTGCGGGGGAAGCGGGGAAAGAGGTTGAGGGAAAACGATGAGATTCATTTTATTTTTTTTAAGAACCAATTGGGAAAAGAAACTGGACAGTGAACCAAAAAGAGAAGACGGATTGGACGGCACGCGCGGCGCGGCGAAACTCACTTGGAGGTGATGCCGGTAACCAGCACTCCGTGGCACTCCACGATCACGATGTTCTGCGGCCGCTCGTCGCCGCCCTTCTTCCACCACTCCTCCGCGTTCCCATCCACCAGCCCGCCACCC